TAATCCTTGCAATGGTATCCTCAAAGTGGAATGTTATTCCCATCCACACACAGAGAGCATATTTCAGACAGACCATATAGCTTGTTTACTCAAATGCTCTTGTGGTCTAGGATGTGTGTAATACTGTCAGACTTCTAAAGCACAGTGGTGGTTGAGTGATGATTTTGGCTTGTTTTGCAGCCACAGGACCTGGGATCCTTGCAGTCATTGAGTTGACCATGAACTCTTCTGTATACCAAAGCATTCTAGAGTCAAATGTGAGGCCATGTGTCTGACACCTAAGAAATCAGGTCATGCAACAGGACAATGATCCCAAGCACACCAGCAAATCTACAACAGAATGGCTTTAAAAAAAAAAATCAAGGTTTTGCAATGGCCCAGTCAAAGTCCAGACATCAACCAGATTGAAATGCTGTGGCAGGACCCTAAAAGAGCTCTACATAAACAAATGCCAGCAAACCTCAATGAAATGAAGAAATGTTGTAAAGAAGAGTGGGCCAACATTCCTCCACAACGACAGAGAAACTGTAACGGAGTCTTACCTGATAGGGAGTCCAGCTCGCAGAGTTATACGCTCACCCTTGCAAAGTAGACAGACCAGGGTGACCAGGTAAGACGCCACCTGGCCTGTGAGTCTGTGCACGGGGGCTTTCCAGGAAAGGTGCTCCAAGACTCAGTACAGCAGGGATAAGCAGAAGCGTGGTCAAGGGAAGCCAAAATCAGGGAAGCCAGAGGTCAGAGTAGTCCAGGAGGAAAGCCAAGGTCAGAAGCCGGAAAGACAAGAATCACTGGAACGCAGGTACGGAGTAACAGGAACCAAACAAGAGAACCAGAGTCAATGAACTGACACCCCTCCCAGGGTGAGGCAGGCTTTTATATCCTGTTAATTAGGATCAGATTCAGCTGGAGAGTTACTGACAGATCAGAGCCTTTGGTGAAGTCCAGCCCCCTGGTGCTGCAGGCAATACAAGAATAAACAGGGAGTTATCCAAAGTCCTGAAATGGCTCAGAGGAAGAACAGCAGGATATGGTCCAGAAGAACCACAGTTCAAATCCCCTATCGGGCGCTTCCAGAGTGACCACGTCTGGCAGACTGGATGTCACTGCGTGGACCGTGACAGGAACTTAAACTGCCATTAAGAATACTTCTTCTGATGCTTCTAACATAATGTCTAACCCCTGAGGTGCTAGTTGAAAGTATTCCCCCTTTTACTAGTGGAGGCAATAAGGACAAATCCCTGTTATAAAGGCAACTTAGGTGGATGTATCTTCTACAAAGAGTGTCATCTCATGGTTTCAACATTAAGCTTGAGTGACACATGTATCATGGCCCCCCTTTAGTTACTTGGAAATGTCTTATATGCTTAGATGAACTGGTCCCACTTAGTTTAAGCTTAGATACAAGATACCTTTGACACCTGCTAGTGTCTGCTAACCTCTAAATAAACCTTAGCCAAACCCAGATATGAATTAAAGGGACACTATAATCACCAAAACAACTATAGCTTAATGAAGCAGTTTTGGTGTAAATAATTATAAAACCAGTATAAAAAAATATAATTTTTATTTAAAGTAGTACATTTTAACATTAAGCTATGGTTGCTGTTTTTACATATGGTTTTGCTGGGCAAATAAAAAGAAGAAACGTGATCTTTATGCTCCTAGTGTGCATGGAAGATAAATTGGGTCTCAAGATTTCGGAAAAATATATGACTCCAGCTTAGGCATCTATAAATACTCATAAACAATTTCAAACCATTTAGAAACCAATTAGATAGTATGCCTCTAATCATAAACGTAATCAATATGACATTATTTTGTCATCCCGGGCAGACAGACCTTCCATCTTACTGAATAATTAATTTTCCTTTTATTTTATGTAATTCTCCTCATTAATGAATGGCGTTTTCTAAAGTAAGCATTAAGAAAGTTCTTTTAAGCATGTTGTATTGTTATATATTATTTATTTATCTTATGGTTATTTTTTTCCAGTTTTTTTGTATTTATTTTTTTATTTTGGTTGATCTGTCCATCTAAAATAGTTATATGAAATACTCGGTGATAATGCAATTGCATCACTGAACTAAAACAACAGTTATTCAGAAAATAAAGATAAAAATTTGTTAAACACATTAGAGAATATATATAGTTATTAAAGTGTTCTGAAAAGTGTTCATTACATTCTGTGATTATGTTGGTCATATTTATTAAAGTGGTCTAAAAGTGACGGTTTTCTTTCTATTAAATTCTGCCACTTTTTTCCATTTAAAAAAAATGAATTAAAAAAATTAATTCCCTGTTGCACTGGAAAAAGGGAGCACATTTAAAAATTAAATGTAGAGTGAAAAAAAAAACAGTAGAGAAAAACAAACAACAGATTTAATAAATGGCACCATCTCTTTTTTAATTAGACAAAAAGTTGTTGGTGACAATTTAATATATCTACCCCAACATACTGCCTGCATTTAGAATATGTATAAGTGGCTTCCTCTGGCAAAGTAGAATAAGAAGACAATACATTTGAATCCATTTTAATAACTGGAGCTATTTTAGGGAAAGTGTTTCCCAAGTTGCCATAAAAGAATCAGTTGACATTCAGAAAACCGAGAAGGCTATTCTAACAAAAATAGCTTTATTTTAGGATATGTATAGGCGGCTTCCATTTTTCCTATAGCTTTATAAAATATTTACTGTTCAGATACACATATAATGATAATATATACTACATAAACTAAATGATAACATGATTTGGTCACATAATTACACTAATACCTTATAAACATTTGGTGGGGGCAATTCTCAGCTCACATTAGTATGACTCAGCAGATCCTTTCAATAGAAAGGGTTCAACATAAAGCAGAGTAGACTAATAGAGAGAGAGCTGGAAAGGCAATGAAATGTAATTCCTTTTATAACTAGGGCTATTTTAGGGAAAATGTTTTCCTAGTCAACATAAAAAAATTATTTGTTGACATTCGGAAAACCAAAGGATTGTCAATTCTAACAAAATTTGCTTTTCTTTACGAGGGTCAAATGTACTCTCTGCATTTCATAAAAGATCACTTAGTATCCTAATCAATATAAGAATGGAGTCAGAAGGTTGAAAAAGGAAGCAGGTTTGGGACATATTCAACACGATCAAAATAGAATAACTTGATACGTTATCTATATAGAGGATTGTGACCTAGATTCTGTTTATATGAATACAAATAGGGCAAACACTTTTAACAGTTTAGACTACACTTTACACTTTGATATCTACTGGATGATGTTATCTAGACATTATTTCCTGTGATATACATTTTCACTGCGATCATGCATTCATGTCTTGGTCACCCAGGATTAGAGAGGGCAACTGTACCAGTTTAATTCAACCCTCTAACAAGCTAAATGAAGAGCAACAGCAGCAAATAACAGTAGCCTCCTGGTAGTGTCAATCCAACTAATCCCGAGCAGACCAGGACACGTATAGCAGAGAGCCAGATTGTCTACCTGACATTAGCATGATCATCCATTTGTAATTTGTAAAAGTAGCGTTTCTAATTGTTCTGTAAATATGTAACACAAACACTGCGGGACACCTTGATGAGACCCTTAACACTGTCATAGGGTTGTTGTTTTTTTTTTTTAACCCTGAGAAAGGAAGTGCTGTTACAGTGTATGAGTTAATATAGAAATAGAAAAAGAAAGAAAATGTGCTGGAAGTTCTAGTGCAGGGAGACCAAGGGCAACAAACTCTAAAAATGGGTACCCTTCTAAGACACAAGAAGTAAGCAAATATATATTAAACAACAAGTTGCGCCAATATAAAAAAGACTAATAAAACATTACTAGATAAACAAGGGAACAAAAAGTATATACAGTATATACAGTATATTAAATTAAATTTAACAAAATACACCAAAATAAATAATAATATGGAACAAAATAAAGTACAGAAAGTCTTCTAATGGCCTGCGTTCCTTTGCAGACTATTCTGTCTGCATTAGGAAATTGGGCAGACTAGATGGGCTGAATGGTTCTTATCTGCCGTCACATTCTGTGTTTCTATGTTTCTAGGTGTATATGTGGATAGAAGAAAGAAAACGAAGAATGCTAATAGTGTGCAAGGATGGACTGATGTGGATACCACTAACGTGAAGGGAGAGTGAAAGAGGAGGATCATTATTAGGAGGTGGAAAGACAAGGAGCTCAGGTTTAGAGAGATTGAGTTTCCAAAAGCGGGAGGACATCCAGTCAGAGATGGATAAAGGCAAGCATTGACACGTTGCAGGACAGCAGGGGAGAGGTCCTGGGAGCATAGATATATCTGGGTGTCATCAGCATAAAGGTGGTAGAGGAATCCAAATGAGGTAATAAGTTTGCCAAGAGAGGCAGTATAAAGAGAAAATAAAAGGGGACCAAGGACAGAGCCTTGGGGGACTCCAACCGAGACAGGACGAGGGAAGGAGGTATTATTAGAAAATGACATACTGAATGAGCATTGGGAGAGATAAGAGGAAACCCACGAGAGGACAGAGTCACAGAGACCGAGTGATTGAAGAGTTTGAAGAAGGAGAGTATGATCAACTGTGTCCAAGGCAGAAGAGAGGTCAAGAAGAATTAGTATGGAGTAGTGGCCTTTGGATTTAGCTGCGATTAGGTCACTAGTAACTTTGATAAGAGCAGTCCCAGTAGAGTGGTGAGGGCGGAAGCCAGATTGAAGAGGGTCAAGGATAGAGTTGGAATTGAGAAAGTGAGACATACGGGTAAAGACAAGTCTTTCCAGAAGCTTTGAGGAAAAAGCAAGCAGGGATATGGGACAATAGTTAGAGGGGGAGGACGGGTCAAGAGATGTTTTTTTCAGGATAGGTACTACAGTGGCATGTTTAAGGTCAGCAGGGACAATGCCAGAAGAGAGAGAGCAGTTGAAGATGTGTGTTACGGATGGCACAAGACAGGGGGAGAGAAATCTGATAAGGTGAGATGGGACAAGGGGTGGGGCGAGAGGAAAGGAGAAGAAACATAGAATGTGACGGCAGATAAGAACCATTCGGCCCATCTAGTCTGCCCAATTTTCTAAATACTTTCATTAGTCCCTAGCCTTATCTTATAGTTAGGATAGCCTTATGCCTATCCCACGCATGCTTAAACTCCTTTACTGTGTTAACCTCTACCACTTCAGCTGGAAGGCTATTCCATGCATCCACTACCCTCTCAGTAAAGTTATACTTCCTGATATTATTTTTAAACCTTTGTCCCTCTAATTTAAGACTATGTCCTCTTGTTGTGGTAGTTTTTCTTCTTTTAAATATAGTCTCCTCCTTTACGGTGTTGATTCCCTTTATATATTTAAATGTTTCTATCATATCCCCCCTGTCTCGTCTTTCCTCCAAGCTATACATGTTAAGATCCTTTAACCTTTCCTGGTAAGTTTTATCCCGCAATCCATGAACCAGTTTAGTAGCCCTTCTCTGAACCCTCTCTAAGGTATCAATATCCTTCTGAAGATACGGTCTCCAGTACTGTGTCCAATACTCCAAGTGAGGTCTCACCAGTGTTCTGTACAATGGCATGAGCACTTCCCTCTTTCTACTGCTAATACCTCTCCCTATACAACCAAGTATTCTGCTAGCATTTCCTGCTGCTCTATTACATTGTCTGCCTACCTTTAAGTCATCAGAAATAATCACCCCTAAATCCCTTTCCTCATATGTTGAGGTTAGGACTCTATCAAATATTCTGTACTCTGCCCTTGGGTTTTTACGTCCAAGATGCATTATCTTGCACTTATCCACATTAAATGTCAGTTGCCACAATTCTGACCATTTTTCTAGTTTACCTAAATCATTTGTCATTTGGCTTATCCCTCCTGGAACATCAACCCTGTTACATATCTTAGTATCATCAGCAAAAAGACATACCTTACCATCAAGACCTTCTGCAATATCACTAATAAAAATATTAAAGAGAATGGGTCCAAGTACAGATCCCTGAGGTACCCCACTGGTGACAAGTCCAAGCTTCGAATATATTCCATTAACTACAATACTCTGTTGCCTGTCCCTCAGCCACTGCCTTACCCATTCAACAATATTGGAATCCAAACTTAAAGATTGCAGTTTAATGATAAGCCTTCTATATGCAACAGTGTCAAAAGCCTTACTGAAATCTAGGTAAGCAATGTCTACTGCACCACCCTGATCTATAATTTTAGTTACCCAATCAAAAAAATCTATAAGATTAGTTTGGCATGATCTCCCTGAAGTAAACCCATGTTGTCTCTGATCTTGAAATCCATGTGTTTTTAGATGTTCATCAATCCTATCCTTTAACATGATTTCCATCACTTTCCCCACTACTGAAGTAAGGCTTACTGGCCTATAGTTGCCCGACTCCTCCCTATTACCTTTCTTGTAAATGGGCACAACATTCGCTAACTTCCAATCTTCTGGGACTCCTGTTAACAATGATTGGTTAAATAAATCTGTTAATGGTTTTGCTAGTACACCACTAAGCTCTTTTAATAGCTTTGGGTGTATTCCATAAGGTCCCATTGACTTATTTGTCTTTACTTTTGACAGTTGAAATAGAACCTCTTCCTCTGTAAACTCACGTGTAATAAATTACTCATTTATCCTTTTTCTCAACTGAGGTCCCTTTCCTTTTCATCTGTAAATACAGAACAAAAATATTAATTGAGGCAGTCAGCTAGACTTTTATCCTCTTCTACATACCTTCCTTCTTTTGTTTTTAATTTAACTAATCATTGTTTTACTTTTCTTTTCTCATTTATGTATCTAAAAAACTTCAGAGAATGACAGTGTGGAAGCAACCTGCCGTATATCATTGGCAAAAACACAAAAAACTTCCTTAACCTCTGAAACCTCATTGCAAGCCAAGTCATTTGTCCCTAGGTGGACAAGTACATCCAATTCCCCTTCCTGCTTTGCTTGCTTAACAATATTAAGCAATATAAAAGAGTAGACTTCACCAATGGAATGTCCTGGCTGGTTCCACAGATTTCTGTGGTGAAGGCCTCACATTATGGGCAATGTTAGCAGAGAAGGGTTTGAAAAGGTGAATGTCCACTCACATTTTATGAAGCTTACATGCAAGCTCAAGTGATATCAACATAAAGTGGTATCATCCCCACTACTGGATATATGTGTAGGCAGAGTCGGTCTTCTAGGCCTCAGTAGAGCATGACATTATAACTACAAAATACATAAAATGTGCCAAAGAATATACTATGTACACTCACAAGTGTAGAGCTTTGTATTAAAGCTCAGATTTTCAGGTACAAAGTGGTATAATCCCCACCCAGGGATACAGATATATCAGAAAAATGAGAATGAATATAGTGTAATATTATATATGGAGAGAATTGGAAATGTACCCACAATTTTTTTAACAATGGATTTGCTTAGTATTCAGTCCAGGAAGATGTACTTCATGTAGTGCCAGGAACAATGATGGAGTAAAATAAATAAAAATAGCAATAAAGGCTAGCAGGTTCCTCAGTGCTTTATTGATAATGACAATATAAAACAAATAATAAAATAATCCAACAATGCAAGTGTAGAATCCCAATACATAGAAATATATCCACAAAACTAGCAAGTATACAACCTCATATATATGAGAATCCTTATATGGACTTAGGGAACCAACAAAAAAATTATGGAATGTACATAGTGTAGAAATGTATTATCAGTGAGGTGTAGGGGAGAGGGATTGGTAGAAAACTCACCAGACGTGAATAAATTCCAGGCATATCTTCCCACTTGGGGGTAAATCTTGTAGATAAAATCTTTCCACTTGATATATCCTTGAATATTAGAGCAAGAGAAACACAATAGTGCAATATGTATGTAAAAACATGAATTTAATAACAGAATCCACTCACAAACTGAAAGAAAAGATAAGCATGTCTCCATCCCCAGTGGTATATAGCAAGAAGCATTACTGAAAAGCATCAAATAGCCCTTCAGAGATAACTAGGTTCTACTCCACAGGATGCAAAAAATGGACAAACTTTTACAAATACAACTACATAAAAACCAAATAAAATAAAGGAAAGTCGATCAACTCCAATATGGCTTTTTCAAGGAAAAACGGTATAACTAGAAGTAAACGAGCAGACAATGGTCAGATAACTTGGCAACACAAACACCTTCAAATTAAATATGTACTTTCCCTATTACACATTTGATTTACACTTTTCTACCCTGTTACCTGTTTGTTGTTTGATATTAGGATATCTGTTAGAAAAATACTGCACTATAATAGATATTCTTAAGGACTGTTTTGGCTTGGCATATTGTTGCAGTTTAACTCTTCTCTGTTTACTTATTTTATTAATAGTATTAGTTTCATTCAATTATTTCATATGATGAGATATTATAACAATATATTCTAAGCACCTTATATTTGTGCTGTATTGATTTATAAGGTCTCTTTAAATTACCTTCCCTTGGTTTATACTCCATTAAGCCAATGCATTTAAAGTCTGCTTGTGCTCACAGAGTTAACACACGAGAACACAAACTTTGAGAAAATATATTTGTGTTTCCAATAAATAAAATCCCCATGAAATATAACATTTACCGCTGATATCAAGGAGCAATGCACCACTGAAATTTACCCACTGGTATTAGTGATACAGCCTGAGTCAAGCTGATTCTCTCTCAGTTGTGGCTTTTTGATTTTCTAGCATGCACAAATCCCAGAAATTAGGTGATATTTTCTTAGTATGGCAATACGCACTTGGAAAGTAGGTCACAAATACATTTACGCTCTGTTGGTAACACGCTGTACACTTAAATGATCCATAATGCAAACCTTAACGGAACATGTTTAAACCATAGTAAATCAAAATACAAATCTACCCAGAGTGAAGCAAATGTGGAATGATTTGCATTTTAGTTATACGCAGATCAGTGAATCTTTGTGAGATTATTATTTTAAATGGTTTCTCTGCTTTGTGTTATAAATTGTTTGCCCCATTTTAGCTTAAGACAAAGCTCATTTTTTTAAATTATGTTTGTGTTTATAAAATATATGTGTTTAAAAGCATGCATTTTTTAAAATATATTGTATGTTTGTTTTTGTTTTTTTACTAGTTACACATTAATATCCCATTTTACATTTACCGTTCTACGTACAGTAGCATTTATGCTCAGACAGCCATTAAGAGAGAAAGTCTAAAGTAACTTGTGTCTCAGAAAACGCTGATCTTAATCCGTGTGTCTATGAAAGTGAATTACTGTGACTAAGTATTCCTAACCAGAGCTAAATGTTGGGAATGAAGTGTTTTTAATACAGATCCAAAGGGTTGGATTCTGTTGCAAGAAATAAACTTAACTCTAGTGATTGAAAGTTGTAATTCTCCCATTAACATTCATGGTAAAATTGTTATTCAATCACCATGGATATACCATATAACATTTATAAGTTAACCTAGCTCATAGTTTAATGTTAAAAAATATAAAGAAACCAGAATAACCTTTTGACCCTTAATCTGTGAAATGCTTTGCTAAAAAAATGAACATCCAATCTGTATTTCTCAATGACGGGTAACTTTTATATAAAATACAGGATTCATAGCTAGGACATAAAATTGGGACATGAGGAATGGCTGGATTGTTGTTCATATATATATAAAACATAAATAAATATATATATATATATATATATATATATATATTTTTTTTTTTTTTAATTCTGGGGATCTGTTGCAGAAAGATTAAAGGAGTATAAACTGTTAGCAATTATACAGTAATCCAAAAGAATTTCTATAATTGATGCAGAATAAAAAACTGACCCTTCTCGTGTACCCTCACAATATTTTCATCATTTTACTCATTATAATCTAGGTATTTTGGTAATTTGTTATGACAATGAATTCATAGTTGTGGCTCTATCTTCCTATGATGAGCAGAGTAGCAGAGCAAAGTACTTAACAGCTAAAATATTAAAGTAAAACCAATAGGATCATAATGAACGGGGGAGATAAAGTATTCTTTCATTTCTTTTCTTTTCTCTAAACAGAAGGTTGAGATATGCTAAGAATAATATTACAAAACTTTGACCAAGGCAGTAGAGTTGGAAAATATCAATGTCTGTGTGTTAGCATTTTTTTTTCTCAATTTTTATATATATAGTTCAATTGTGAATTTGCCACAACCATATTTTAGCCACTATACCAGGACCTCCTAAACATTTGAGACATGGACCTAAATTATATACATGTCCTTAGTTTGGGGACTCTATTTAGTATAATCTTAGTGTTATCAATTTTCCAACTGTTACAAAATATATTACAAAATTAATTCTGCAACAATCTGTCAATAAATAATTATAGCAATATATGTTTTAATGCTCAAAAAAATCCTTTGTGTAGAAGGGATTGGATTAGACGGTTAACAAAACTGAATGAAACGTCTAGCACAAATGTTTTGGATAAGCCTACAAAAAAACATACCTTCGAGGTGTTGTGCACCTTTCATGTTA